GAACTGCTGAACCTGACGTGAATAAGCCAGACTCTTCTCAGCAGGAGTTATTAAGAACAGACAGGCAGCATGAGCTGGGAAGGGAGGAAAAAAAAAAACAAAAAAACGGATCGCGGTGAGAATGGCTGAGCCTCGCTACATAAACATGTATTCTTTCTGAATAGAGCCTTCCTCCGTTATTGTTCCTCTTACCCAATAATTGGCTTTGATGTCCCCATTACATGCTCTCTCCTCCCTACATAATCCCTGTCGCTGTCAATTAGCCAGTGGCAAGGCAAACAACAAAGAGGGCTATTGCTTAAGAAACAACTGCTCATCCAGGAAACTGTTGTCAAATACCAGAAGCACTGTTCTTTACTCTGGGATCCCCTGAGAGAAAAGATGCCCTGCTTCAAATACAGCTGCTGTAGAGAGGCTCCAGTTACACCAGCGCAACTTCTGCTTCCATAACAGAAAGGCGATTAAAACTGGGTTTACGCGTGGCAGCTGCTCCTCTGCTCAGGTTGTGGCACTTACTTCAAGTACGAAATTAATCTAGCCTTGACATAGTGCCTGGCAACTTTGTTTCCCCGCATTAGGAGGCAGGAAAGGCTGTGCAGAGCTGGATGCTAGGATTCCTGGGGGTGATGACGCCCTCTGACACAGTTTTCAGCTGCGAACTCAAGTGTGCATGGTCTACAGCACTCATCACGTTGAGGCCCTCCCTGCTGTGTCTTGAAGTCTTTTGGAAGCTGTAACATAAATGGGAACTGCTGGATACAGGGACTCTTTTGAAAGCGTTTAATTTCAGCTTCTGCTCACGCTTCTACGTCTCTCAAGTTTCTGCTCTTCTGTTTGAGAGCTTCAGCCAAAGCCACCATACATATGAAAAAGCAAAACAAATCCCTACACTCCGTCAAAATTCACAGAGTCTGAATTAGCTCTGTACTGTTTACTCAGGCAGGTGACTGCCCAATTCAGAATCACAGACGCTGGTCAGCCAGTTGTTCACCCGTTCCCATGCTATCTGTCCCATGTCCAGGCTGCGGCCTGCAATTGCTCACACTTGGCTGCATACTGCAGGCAATACGTGCTTTATCTGGATCAGATGTGACTGCTGTGTGATCATGTTTCTACCATGTTAGCCAGATTGTATATTTTTGGGGTTTGTGCTGGTTTGATGTGGCTTGGTGCAGCCTACAGAAGGACACAGGCCTGATCCAGGGCAAAGGAGCAGGGATGTGAACAGGAGATGCCACCTCTAGCGAGAGGTGTGAAGGCATGAAATTAACCCTTTATAACACCTCAGAACAGACGGGTCTTGACAGAATGTATTTGTGCTTTGAGTCAAGTGGCTGTGGTGTTTTAGGTCTGGCAGAGGCACCCAAACACTAGGTATACTGCTTAGAATCATGGAATCACAGAATGTCCATCTCAAGTTGGAAGGAATCCACAGGGATCATCAAGTCCAACTCCTGGCTGCACACAGTACCACCCAAAAATCAGACTTTGTGTCTGCTGTCCAAATGATCCCTGAACTCCAGAACTTGGGGCTGAGCCTGCTGCCCTGGGGAGCCTGTTCCATGCCCACTGCCCTTTGGTGAAGAACTTTTTCCTGATACCCAACATTGCTTGGCCAAATCATTGCCACAGCAACTTGTAACAGGCTTACCATAGGACTCAACATTGTTCTAAAAATGCTCTGTAAAACATAGTAATACTTCAATCTTCTGCTTGTACAGAAATGGGTTGCCCTGCAGATGGAAAAGGAAGTTTCAGTAAATGCTTATCAGAAGGTTTTGCCTTATCTGAGCATGATATTTCATATTCCATGAAATTATGTCTTTGCTAAAGCAAACAGAAATTTGCCTCTTTCCCAGTATCTACTGCCATCCAAGCAGGCAGCAAAACTACAGCAAATACAAACTGTTCTGTTTGTGTTTCTGAAAGAGCTAATAAAGAGCAGCTAAGTCTGGCTATCTGTATGCTGCTTCTCACACAAACTCCCTGAATTACGCCCTCTTTTAGCCAGCAAGGGCAGGTCATAAGAGCTAAAGTGGCATTTCCACCAGCACTTTGAATTGAGATAAACTGAATCTGCTGATAAAAGAGGTGATTTTGGGGAGGGTATTTTTGATGGATTCTTTTCTTTATCCCAGTTGCTGCATAGATGCTGAAACTTTCCTGTTGGAACAAGATTCTGCACGTGGTGGCCATGAGTCAGATAGCATTTGCTTTGCTGCTGGCTGTATGGCTGATTCAGGCTAGTTTAGAAAGTGCCCGGGGCTACCATGTAACTACCTTTCCTGACTGTTTTAACAGGCATTTTGTTTTGGACATCTGGAAAGTCAAAGGACATTTTGCAATGGGCAGTCTCCGAATTTTCTTCTACTACTCAAAAGCAATGATTTCTTCCATTAGCGACATAGTGACAAAGCACAAAGCAGGTGGTGCTGCACAGGGCTGGACACTTTGGCCCACAGCAACCTTCGCACACAAGGTGTGTTATAAGGAGCCACTGAGACAAAACAAAAAAGAAATGCTCCCATCAGAGCACATTATTATAGAGTATGTATATGTGATGCCCTGAAAAGATCGTGTGTTTTTTAAGAAAGTGTTGGGAATGTGCATTTTCCTGGTGGCAAAGCAACTAACATTTAAGTTATTTTAGAACACAACAAACATAGGCACATTTTTAGAACATTAACATAAAGAGATACGGCAAATTGGTGCACTTGCAGAGTAGCAAAGTTGAGAAATCTGGTCAGACAGGTTTCCTAAAAGATTAAGAGATCTCTGTGTAAGTGAACATTAAGGTACTATTAAGATAACATTAACAGCAACGTTTCCAGGGATTTGGTCATTAAAAACAAAACAGAGGTAAACCAGACCATGCAAAAAAGCCCTTCCATATAAGCAAACCAACCTATAGCAAATGGAAAGAACTTAAAGGTTACCTATGTAAAAAACAGTTGTGAAATTATCCACAAGGGAAAAAAACTGAAGTGTATTGGGAATCTCAAATAATTCAAAATTCTTTAACTGTTACAAATGTTACAAATGTTACAAAAATAAGTGCCCTTATTTTTGTAACTGATGGATGCGAATATTGAAGTATGTTTTCTATTACAAACCCAGTTCCAACTCCCTGCTCCCCAGCTCATCCAGAATGAAAACAATCCATCTTATAGTTAAACGTTTCTTGTTTTGGCAGAAGTTTTTATTTACTATTGCATTTTTTTTTTTTTCTGCAGACATTACAACCTTTGATGTGGCTCATTTCTTTCAGAGTACATATTCACTGCAGAATTATCTACATTCAAGCCGCCTGAAAGGATTCCAACCACAAAATGCTTGCTGCGGCCACTTCCGTGCGCTGCTACAATTTCTTGGGGTACACATGTGGGATTTTTGGAAAGCGCTGGGAGAACTGACAGCACTTGAGTGCTGGAGCCGCTAACCGGTTGTGTAACTTGAGTTTTAGCCTGTAAATCTGATGGGGCAGCCACTAGAGTTAAGGGGGCTTGTGAATGGCTCAGGCTTGGCTTACTGGTGATACTCAACTTAGAGCTCAAAGGAGCTTTTCACCAGCGAACAGATCTTTTGTGTTGGTAAGGAGAGCATTGACCAAAGATCTTTAGGTGAATAAGGCAACTAGGAAGAGAGACAGATAGCAGTAATGCACTAGAAAGCGAGACTAAATCTCTGTTGAAAGAGGAGATGACAGGCTCAGCCTGTATTAACAACAGAGTGCAGCTTTCATCCAAACATCCCAAATGAAAGCAAGAGAAACCATTTCAAAGCCAGGAAGCTGGAGAAAGACACTCAGAAGGACACAAGTTTAAGATTTCAGAGTAATTTCCTTCAAATAAATCCACAACATTTACTACATCACATGCTTCTTCTGGGTAAACTGAACAACAGGCAGGCACTAATAGAAGTTGGTAGGATGACGTTGGCTTTAGGAACCAAGCACATATAAGTGTAGGTATGGCCATTCGAGAAGATTTGCAAGAACAGCTGGCATTTCTGTAAGTGCTATTGAGTGATATCCATTTTTGCACTTTCCTGCAGGAAAGTACCAAGTAGAAGGTGCTACAGTTCTTCACCAAACACTGGAAAACAACCCACAGAGTTGTGGCTAAAGCAGACATGTTTTAAACTGAGGCATAACAGTGCGTACATGCTGTATGCATACTGGCTAGGAGAGTAGAAATGTGCATTGTGTGCAAAGAGGAGAAGGAATGTCTCATCAGCTTGCATCTCTGCATTCTGCTGAGAGAAGATGAAACACAGCTCTGCTTGAATCACAAAATCGTGAAGGCTGGAAAAGACATCTAAGATCATCCGTCCAAGCCCAACCCATCCCCACTGACATCACGCAGTGCCATATCTCCATGGTTCTCGAACACCCTCTGGGACGGCAACTGCACCACCTCCCTGGGCAGCCTGTGCCCCGGCATCACCACTGAGAAGAGATGTTTCCTAATATCCAACCCAAACCTCCTCTGGTACAACTTGAGGTCATCCCTTCTCATCCTACTGCTGCTACCCGGGAGAAGAGGCAGACCCCACACCACATTTTTTTTTGGACAGTTGTAGAGAGCTGGAAGGTCAAGAACCGTGGAGATGTGACTTCGAGGGACGTGTTCAGTGGGCACGGCGAGGACGGGCTGGGAATTGGACCTGATGATCTGAGAGGTCTTTTCCAGCCTTAATGACGCTGCGTTTCTATGAGAAGCGCTCGGACCGAGACGCCCAGCGGCTCCCCTCAGACAGCGGACGGCACGCAGGTCACCCTCCAGCCGCACGGAGGCCCGGCTCGGCCACGCGCAGGGCGGCCCCGCCGCGCTTCCGCC